TTATAATTTATTAAAATTATAAATTATTAAATTTATTATTTTATAAAAGTGTAAATTATTGATATATTAAATTTTATAACTACAAATTATTTTATATATAAATTTATATAATAAATAAAATGATTTTTTACATTAAAAAAATATATATATACCGTTCGAAATTCGATTTTCTGGAAATTGAATTCTGACAGCTACAGGAAACTGTTCAATTGGGAGTTTATTTAGGGAAATTTTTTTATAAAAAAATATTATAATAGTAAAAAATTCTGATATTGATTCAAACACTTTAAAATTGTATAAGTACTTGTTAATATGTATATTCAAATACAATAATTTATTGAATTTTAATTTTTAAGCACTTATACCATAAGTTTTTATTTGATAAAAATTTATTAAATAAGATATTAAATAAATTATTTTTTCAAACAAATCCTTAATTCTTCTTAGTTTTAAAAATATGAAATTTTGATTCTATCGTTAATTTGATATTTGTTAATATTTAAACTTTAATGTTGTATGATGATTTACCATCACTTAAGTGCTGTAATATTTAATAACTTGACATATGAATAAAAAATAAAATATAAAAGTTCTTTATTTATAACTATTTTTATATTGATATTTATTTTATTAATAAAATCTTATTTATATATAAATTTTTATTTTTATTTTTAAATGTCATGTTACTAAATGTCACATTATTTAAGTATGAATAATGTTAAAAATTAATAATTAGCCTAGTAGTTAGGTGAGGAGGAATTGAGGTAGTTAAAAATATGAAAATTTAGGTTATCTTTGTTGCGACTATCTTTGTAGTCTTTCTTATCTTTACAAAAAAATATTAATTTGATGAAAAAAATAAAAATTATAGTAATTAAATGTTTCAATTTTAAAAGAAAATATCAAAATTATAAATCAATAAAAATAAAAGGAAAAAAATGCAATTAAACTTAAATATTTAACCCACCAAATATTTTGCTTAAAAAAATGCCACTGAATATTTAACTGCTCAGTGGTAGAATTTTATCACGAAAAATATTTTAACATCAACTTTTATTTTTTTATTTCTTATTTTTTATTTTTCCTGAGGTGGATGTGGAGAAAGAGGAAAATTTATTTTTGTGTAGTGGTGCAATCCAAAGGCGCAAACCAAGCCAAGGCTCTCACGCTCACTGTCACACAGCTGAAGAAACCCACAACACCACCGTCAACGGCTGAGAACCACCGCAACTTCGACGCCGCCGTCGACCCAGAAATGTCGCTTGTCGACTACGCTTCCTCTTCAGACGACGACGTTTCGGAACCCACCGAAGAAGAAGAACTCAATAAAGAAGAGGAACCCCAACGCCGCTCACCGCCACCTCAACCTCTTCCTCCTCGTACCCAGTAATTCCTCTCCCTTCGCTTCTTCGCACAGTTATTCTAATTCTTTTTATTTATTTAGTTATTTATTTTAGAGTGTGATTGATTCCCTAGGTTTTTTTTTTTTTTTTTTTTTTTTTTAAATCATAGTATTGATAAGTGAGTGCACAAATAAATTAGTTTCCTTTTTTTAGTGTTTTTGTTTTTCACCAGGATAGACATGAATTTTCGTCATTCACTCGCAATTTCAATGTTTTGATACCTTGGCTCATGTTGTAGTTGCCATTTATTTTGGTTTAGAGTCAACACAAACAAATAAATACTAGTTGTTTGTGTTGGGCATTTTATTAATTCTTGAGTTTTGTCTGTACTTTATAATACTATGGTCACTAACACAAGGGAGAGTCTATTAGTATGACCATCATCACTTGAAAGCATAACATTAGTGAAAAAAAGGGTCACAGTGATGGGAATCAGACAGAAGAGTAAAAGGAAAATTAGGCAAAGTGGTTAGAATGGTTGTAGAATTAGGTAGTTAGATGCAGAGTTGGTTTAGCGGTCAGCTTAAATCATAGGAGGAGTATGTAGAAGGAGAGGGAATTCAGAATTGTTATTATGGGAAAAGTGGAAAACATAGCAATAGGCAATGGCTTAATTGTGAAAGGGGCAACCCTTGTTAGTGTGGATCCATAACAAGCATAGGAGAACAAATTGTTTGGTTTCTTTGACCTGCTAACTTATCTGAACTAAAAGTTCAATGTTGAAACTTGAAATATATGGCTGTTTGTTTATGAGTTTAATGGTTATGTACTGTCAGGATAATAATTTTTACACTCTCAAGTCTCAACTAATAAAAAAACATTGTTGGTATTACTTTTAAGATAGTTATTGTAAAAGCTAACAGATTTACCGTATATGGTAGTTTGTGATTAGATAATAGTATAAAATTGCTTTACATTAGTGCATTAAATTATTTTCTTGTTGTTTACAATTTAATGGCTATGACTTCCACCACTAACTTTCTTATTAAATCCAGTTTTTAGCAGAATTTGGGGGCTTGATCCCTGCTAAAAATTCCCTATTAGAAATACAACTTATGAAATAGGAGGGGTTGATAACATATGACAATTGGTTAAAATAATTAAGTGGCATATTCATAGTTTGCTCCCTCACGCCCATACCTAACAGCTAACACATCTTCTGGTTGAGGTTGTAACTTCCATTCCTCGGTTAGGATTGGTTCTAGAGATTGTGCCACTGGTGATGATGCCAGTGCCTTCTTCAGTAGGCATACATGAAAAATAGGATGTATGCGAGCATTCTCTGGCAAGTCTAGCTTGTATGCAACCGAACCAATTCTTTGGAGGATCTTGTAGGGGCCATAATAACATGGAGACAACTTCTCATTTCTCTTTCATTTTCTTCCTAATCCTAAACCCAATATTCTTAACTCAACTGAAACTGTTTATTGAAAAGAACAGTATTGCATTGCAGCCTAACCTAGAAGATAATGTTTTCTTTCTTGATGCTTCAACAAAGACTAAATGTAAATTTTTCAATATGGGAATACAATGCTAAATAGTCATGCTAACTTGTTTAGATTCAATCCAAATTTTGTGAGTGTTTCTTGCTGAATCTTTGTGCAATTTCAATGCCCTTTAAAAGATTATACAATTTTCACAGAAGGGAGAAGAGATCATCGTGACAGTGTGCTTTATGAAGAAGCCTTGGTGTTTACCTGGTTTGAGTTTACAGTTAGAATTCTGTTGTTTATGTCTTTTTAGCTTATCTGTGAAATAATTTTTGTGGAAGCTCTCTTATGCTGTACTGCTATGGTTTCTTCAGGGATCTATCTTTGATGGATATTCAGAGAGAGCAGAGAGTCCTTTTCTGCTCATATAATTAATTCTAATGCATTTATTTTACTATTTTTCCATTCTTTTGTGCTGACGTTGTACAATGATTTCTTATGGGAAATTTCAAAAAAGTAAATTTTGGTAGAAGGTATTTCAAATCTAGGAACATATAACCATTCAACCAGTAATTAAGTCAGTAAACAATTTCTCATTAACCTCCTCTTAAAATCTTTAACCAGTGAAGTGGTTATTTGTTCCTGTGCTAGAAATGTTTTCCTTATAATTCCCATTTTTGTTTTCAATTTGTTTACCTATTTCTTATTCTTAGTTCTTTCTTACCCATATTATATATCTCTTATTCACTTCTAATTAAAATTTCATTCTCTTGTCAGAAAAAATGGAATGTATACTTTTTAACAATCTCTGTGTAAGATACATGTTAACTATAAAGGGACATCATAACTGCATTAGTGAGTTAGATTAGATCCCATAAAACTGCTTTCCTGAAAAATTCAAAAGAAAGAAAGGACCTGGAGATAAAGGCATATTTGAGACATACATGTGTCTGTGCAGGGTGCTTATGTGTGATTTTCTAGTCTTACAGAAAGTACAACCAACATAAACTATAGTAACATACTAACATTTCACCTTTCTTGATCAACATTGTTTTCTATTCTTGACATTTATCCATTTTTAACTTGCAGGACTAAATCTGGATCTTCGTCTGACCAGCAGTTAGAAAATAAACCACATTCATCTTCACATTCAGTGGAGAAACTTCCTGATGCTTCTTTTCTTTTGAATGCACCCGCTGTCTCATCTAATCTGATGAGTGCTAGTGACCACTTCTCTCGAGTTGCTGCAGCTCAAGCTGAAAATGCTTCACGTAAGCGAGATTCAAATGGAATGGCCTCCTCTGCTGTTCGTAGTAAAGTTCCTAGAGGAAACTTGCCTCATTCAAGGACTGTTCCAGAAACTGGCGGTGCTATGCTGTTTCCACCTCAGATCAGTGGAAGGTTTGTAGTTGATGTGTTGACAGATAGCTGTCTTCTTTTTGGTTTATTTCTGCATTTGTTGCTATGTGTTTTTAGAAGTTAGGTTTGTTTGTTACTTTGTTTTTAAATTTTATCTCAATGATTAGCAGATCTTGAATTGATGAATGATGACATGAGGTGAATTTACTAAAGTTGTGCAATTAGATTGAATTTGAAATGAGCTCTGGCCTGCTGTCTGTTTATAATTTAGATATTGATTTCATCAATTTAATACTTTTTTTTCTTCTTCACTTTTCTGTGATATTTTAGTTTTGTTGAGATTATGAGCAGATTTTATACAGGCCATTATTTATTAGTATTTTTATTTGGACAAAAAATGAGACTTCCTTTTTAAGTGAAGAAAAAGAGAGCAAATAAAATAATACTAAAATACACATAAACACAGTAGAGCTCTCCAATCCTCTTGTGCATTTGAGAAAAGAAACCCCTTTGAAGAAGCATGACCGAAAACCGACAATGAAAGGGGAAAAACTAGCTTATAGCCTTATACTATAAAGCTAGGAAGGTGGATATGTCTGACTAAAGGCTATAACATACACATTGCTCAAATACCCTACATCCTAGCAATAAAGGCACAACTCTGCCACTCCCTACCCTCTATCTCCATAATGTTGAACCAGTTATAACCACAATTTCCAACAGAATGGAAAAGTAATGGGTGGCAGTTTCCAAACCTCCATGGTGCAAGATGCCAATATATCTGTGGCCTACTTTCCTAACTTTGAATTAGAGGTGCAAATGAGCCAAACTAGGTTAAGCTTTACATGGCCTAGCCTAGCCTGATCTTGCCTTGATTTGAAAGACTGGTTAGAAGCCTACTTACTTTAAAAGTAAACCTTTCACACAGGTTAACAAAACCTACCTTGGGCTAATAGATGTAAACTTATATGTAAGTTGGTGTAGCAGCATAGGTTTAAGCTTTAAATTAAATACACCAACAAACATATAATTTCAAAACATTATAGTAAAAAAATTAATACAATGATGAGAACAATATTCTTATCCTAATTATTATTATTATTTGCTTCAAATAGTCTAAAGCTTAGCCTTTGTAAATCATTTGGCCTAAATTATATGGTAAATGGACCGAGCTTGACGTTGGCCTAATCTAAACCCCTGGCAAGCATCTTGACCTATTTCTATCCCTAGTTGGAATTTTCCAAAAATTGGGTAAGGAAGCCATCCCCACTAGCAAAAGAGGAAATGGCAAGAAAGAGGGGTCTTATCTGAAGGGTGAACTTCTAGGGATTCAATGGAGTATAATTAAGTCGATTAACAACTTGCCTGAACCATTCTTGTGAAAACCATATTTATAGAGCTTGGGGTTTTAAATAGCTATTAGTGAGAGCTTTTCAGACCTTTATAACTCATCTGGTTGATTTTTGAAGAATTTTCAGACCATTTTGTTGTCTTTAAGCATATGTTAGGAAAAGGAACTATTAGACTTATCTTATAGGCCTTGACTTTTTTATGTACTCTTGGATCATTTTAATGAAACTTTTCAACATTTCTGATTGAACTTTCCTGACTTTATTTGTTGACAACTCTGCTAAAATGAAGTGTCATAAGAGTTTCACTGTACTTTTGAAAACTTGTTGGATAATGATATTATTTAATACAGAGAGAATGATGCTTTTAGTGATGATTGTTGCTTTGAAGAGTATTTCTCGATAATGCTTGATTATCTTTCTGATTTCTGTTAATTTTTTTGATATAACATTCCAATGAACCTTTCTGATGTAAACTTTGCCCCTTTGTTTTTACTCCATTTCTTTTCCACATTGGTGTGTCAATTGATTTACAATCTAGCATCCCACTTTCTTCCAAAATGTCAAGCACCATTCCTTTGAGAAATAGCACCTGCTTTTTAATGGCTACTTCACGTTCTGATTGAGAGGTAGCAATTTCTGTTTAAAGAGCATATGAAGATTCATGTAAGCTAGTACTGTCAAATAGCAGCCATGGCATCATCCTTGCAGTATGGCATGGCAGATTTTTGATAAAAACATCAGCTGGTGACCTTGGTATGGCAGCTTTCACATGTCTGCCTATGATGGTCGCCATTATTTTCATAGCAGTTTTGATAGCCCTGATGGAAATAACAGCTAAATAAACTTGAAAAATTAGATAAAAAAAACAGATGTGTATCAGTGACCTGTTTTAAAGCCTAATGACCAGAGAAAAATCTTAATTGCTCATCAAACCGTTATGACCCATCAAAACACACACATTTGCTCCTACTCTCACACATCTTAGCTATCTACAATCTACACTCACTTCTCTGCTTGTACCACAGGCTCAAACTCGTGCTCAGCTGCTCCCACATCTCCGTTGCCATTGCCAGCAAATGGCCCTTCTTTGGTAACGATGTTATTAATCACAGGTAGCAGTTCATGGGCCACAACAAAGTGGTGGATGTTGTTATGGACTTTGTGGCTACCACAGTATAACAAGAAAACGACAGAATGTAATAAACTTATGTCAAGACTCAAGAACAATAAACTAGAAACATTGTAACTAATAAAATTAACCAAAACTATCATTATTTAGCAACCCTTGCTTCAACAAAGAGGACGTAATCACAAAGAAAGAAATAGGAGAAAACAAAGAAGGAAATGGAGAGGGTTCTGCAGTTTTCCAAAGGCAGGTTGTGAGGCCCATTTCGTAAGTATTTTGGAGAAGAAGAAAGAAAAATACTGAAAGGAGAGTGAGAAAGGAAAAGGGGCCCAAAGACAATTGGGGTTTGACTAGCAGCTGAGGTGAAATTTGAAAGAGAAAAGTGGAGTTGTAACAGAATGTACACATTGGGGAAGCAAAGGGAGGGGGTATGGGGTGTGGAAATCATGGGTAGTGGAGGGGAGTGTGATACAGAATATAAAGGGGGGAATTAACTTGAAGAAAGAAGGGGGAGAATGGTTATGGGAGTGTGGAGGAGCTGAGGGCATTGCTCTCTGTCTCAAGGTTATTTGAGTTGTTCCTTTTTTGTTAGTGTTGTTTTCACTATTGTAAGGAGTTTAGCTCCATCCCATATACTTGAGAGAAATTATAATACATTGCATCATTTCTTATTCTATTTTCAATTGTAATAAAGGTCATTTTCCAATGAGAGACTTAAACACTGGCCCAAGTGGTTTATTTCGGTAGAGGTTTGGTATGGTACCAACTACCAAGTATAATAGCTTCAAGTAGATGCACTTGGAAGAGGTAAGAAGGCTAAAGAGGCCCTAAATCACTTGGTGACCACTTCAGTTGAAACAAGCTCAAGTCTGGAGGAAACATCTAATCCTGATTGAAAAATTTGAGGAATATAGAAGATGGACTGATTTGCATAACAAGACCCATGAGGATATATCATCTATTTTTAATTTCTACAAGTTGATGAAGGCTTGAGCTCAATTTGAAGACAACATGATAAGCCCAAATTCATATGATCAAGAAGCATTAATGGGTTGAAGCATTAATGAGTGGGAGTTTAATTACTTTTTGGGCTAAATTGTTACTTAAACCATTTTCTTAATTTTAATGTAATTTTCGTGTTTCTTTTTAATTAAATAAGTCAGATGTCTTTTCATATTATTTAGGTTAGTTTTTAGTGTTTTTAGGTTTTCTAAACCAATATGATTGTTAGTGGGATAGTAGGGAGTCATTTCCAATGGAAAATAAGTGCTAGTGGGAATTCATTTCTTAGTGGAAACTAACTACTTGTACATGAGTGGTCGCTTAGCTTATAAATAAGCACCTCTTGTAAGCATCCAAGGGAGAACATGAATTAATTAGAATTTGGATTTTTTCTGATTGAGAGGATTCTCTCTCTAGGTTCTTAGGAACTACCCTTGGTTTTTATGTTTGAATTTCTAAATTCAAAGTGACAAATTTTTCACAATTTATCAATCCTTAGGATTATAGCGTTGTTCTTTCATTTCTTACCTCAATCTATTTTTCCTTTTCATTTCAATTTCTGCATTTTCTTAAAGTTTGTCTAAGAAATTCCTTTGTGAGATGCTGAATTTGATATTCGTTAAGGGGTTCATGTTGTATATGGTTGAGATACCCCACTTCTTCTCAAACGAACTACCGCCCCCTTTGTTGTATTAGTTAATCAGATAGTATTTGAAAGGGGTGCTTTATTAGCAGAATTATGAGCTAATCTACTTAACCTCAAGATTGAATGAAATCCCAAGATGATATATATTGAAGTGATGTGTTAGATTGTATTTGGGTCAGAGATTAAGAGAGAGAACAGGGACTCTGATTTCATGGAGTTGTGAGCAACACCTATTTGTAAATTTGTTTTCCATCTTCCCCTTGATTCAGCAATCATCTTGATTCAGATTGAAGAAGAATGATTTCAATAGGAGTCCAGTACTTTTCAATATATTCTTTACTTTTCTGATCATATTCTGTTAGAAGAGTAAGTTGTTATAGCAACAGTGTTCACTTTGTTCCACTGTTTGTATTTTTCATTTCCGGGATGATTTCATAGTTGTAACTAGTAAATTAAAATATCACAATTGATTGTTCTGATGAGAAGATGTTTCATTCACACATGTTCCCTTTTCTTTGTGTAGAGAGTTAGGTAACTTGAACTTGGACTACAGTAGGATGCAATAGAAATATGAAATTTTTGCTTGGTTCTGTTTTATTCTCTTTTTATAGAGGGTAATCCTTGGTGCATTTATATGGCACTGTGACCTAGAGATCACGAATTCAAATCCTGAAAACAACCTCTCTGCTTGGGGGCTAAGTGTGCATACATCTCTCTTTGGATCCCACCTGGCTTGTGCCCACTAAGCCATCTTATTTTATTTTATTTTTTCATTAGTTTTTCTTTTTACAGATAGTTTTCAGCTGAGAAAGGGCATTTGATGACATTGCCAATTAAAATTCTATGCTTCCTAGAAAAGTTGAAAATTATCCCTAGTTAAATAATGCCTACTATCTCAAGTCCTGTAGGCAGACTGCAAATTGATCTGCAAATGCTGGATGTTCCTGTTCCAGAAGCATTTAATGTCTAGGGGGATAATCATTTAGTACTTTGCCACACCCTTTTTCCCTAGTCCTAATATTTTATTTTACTATTTTGTTTTTGGCAATGCTAAAGCTGATATACTAGCTTGTGTGTTCTCCACATTCTCATTGCTGAAATGTCTGTGTTTTCTTTTTGAAATATATCTATTTATGAATTTCTGATTTTGTAATTTTCAGGAAAAATGTTGTTACAGAAGACATAAGCAAGCTCTTTGTCAAAAAACATCACTAACATTTTTAGCGTTAGAAGTTTGCTTATTGAAATCAATGATGGGTATGAAACTTAAACTTGAAGATGTGGCACTTCACCTTCTTGAAAGTGCTTGCTTTTGTAGAATGTGTACTTAACTTTTAAGTTTGTTTATATCCCTAGGTTGTACTTACCCGTCTTGTTGATTATATTACATTCTTAACTGCCATCCCAGCCAAGAAAGAGAAAAAGGAGCTGAAATTTAAGGGTGATTTGCTTCACAGCATATTTATTAGATTTTGCAATTATGATTTAGGATTTTGAGAATATTATGAAGGCTTAAATATGTTTTAAGTCCCTTAAATTTAGGGTAAACTTGTTTTAGGTTTCTCAAATTTAAAACTGTTGTTTTTAGTTCCTATAATTTTCAAAATTTTTGTTTTAGTCCCTCATGTCACCAATAACATATTTAAAAGTGATAGATCGAGACACATATACACCATCTACTAGGTTTAATGTGTTGTTTTCACTTATAAGAATACTAGTAGATAGATTTTCTGCGACAATATTTGAAAAATTTCGTGACAAAATTTGAGTATATGGACTAAAATAATTTGTTTTTGAAATTGTAGGGACTAAAAATGCTAGTTTTAAAATTTCAAGGACAAAAAAACGTATTTAAGCCTACTATGAATGTTATTTCCATGCTTCATTTAAGGTTTTATAAATATATTCAGGCTTGTTAGGTCTTTTTGAAAGGTACAGGTTGGAGTGATTGCAAGGAGATACTTGTCTAAATTCCATTAAAATATGTTAAGTTACTTGCCTTTCAATTATGTTTTGCATTGTCTTTAGTTCCAATCTGTAGGAACCAAGAGATTGTCCCAGTTGCCTAAATCCCTTTTAGGGGTTGATGGAATAATCTGAAACCGAATATGCCACTTAAAGCTGATCACATAGTTTTTCTTATGTGGAAAAGCAAAGAATTTCTATCACTTGCTACCTCACATTTGAGAGTGCTTTCAAACATAATAGTCGATCTCGGATGGCGGAATGGAGTGGTTGACTACAAAAGTGGGTTAGCGGGATTGCAGATAGCGGAATAACCATTATTCTAATATTATATATATATAAAAGCTAAAAAAATAGAAAATTTACTCTAAATTCATGCATTAATCATTTTTAATAATAAAAATTCAAAGTACTCAAGCAAAACATAACATAAAATGACTAGAAAATAAAGTGCTAAAGTTCTAAGTAATTAAAAAAGTAGACATTAAACTTTAATTTCCTTCCTCATCAAGATTAAAGCCCCTAAGCTCTGATTTTTTGGTTGATCAGTGTTTGGTTGGGTCATGGTCTTGTTGATCACCAAAGAACAAAACCGCTCAAATAATAAAAATGAATAGAAAAAAGAGAGAAAAGGAACAGGAAAAAAAAAAAAAAAAAAGCAAACGGGGAAAGAAAAAACAAGAAAATCACAGAAATTTCGACGGAGAGAGTCATCGGAGAAGATGTAACAAATGATGAGAATGTTGATGGAGAGAGTCATCGGAGAAGATGAAGCAAATTGTTCAATTGAGGGAGAAGAGAGTTATGAAAGGATTTACGAGAGTTCGTCACTCAATAGAAAAGGAGAAGGGGCTTATGGGCTTTAGCCTTTAGGGGAAACTGCATATAGGGTGGATCCAAATGAAAAGGCAAAAATACCCTCATTTTAGGAGGTATTCTTGGGTTTTGTTTTTTAAACCACCATGACAGACCGCGATTTTCACCGCTCCGCTCCATTGCAATTGCGCCCCCTCCATCCGCTACATGAAACTGCTTTGTTCCAAGGTTCCTATAGTGGCATGGAGCTGATCTGCTGCTATTGACTACTATGATTTCAAAATACTAGGCTGTGCTTGGATGACATGGTTGTGACTCATTCACATTTGATCACTACAAATAATAGTACTTTCAATATCACTAGGAAGACTTTTTATCCTACATACTACCACTTTACTAGCACACATACGCCTTAGGTGTTGGAGTGTCAGTCAAATACTCACTTTCATCTCCTTGTTAGACCAACATCATTGTCTTCAACCTGAAGTAAATTTAGTGGGCCTTGGACTGAGAAGGCTCTGTTAGATCATTTTGGTGTCATTTATGGATGAGGATTGAGGAATCGGTAAAGGTATTCTCATCCTCATTACTATAGTTACCATTTGTGCTTACTACCTCGGGTTGCTCTTGCTTTCTTTCCCATTCCCAACAACCGTTTTGATTTGAGGATCATACTAGGACTCGAGCTTCAGCGTCGAGTCACCTTGGAGGACAGGGCTCTCATCCAACAAGCTCCATTATTACGACTAGCTAGACAAGATGTTTTAGGAGGAACTGCAAAGAATGTAGCAGTCCTTCCCGATCCAAGGGACAGAGCGCATGAGGTAACTAGAAAGGTTTGTTTATAGCTAACCATCAACAAGCATCACACCACAATCACCATCGGTTAGCATGGTGGTGCTAGACTAATACCAATGAGATGTAGAGCATTCTATCTTGTAAGGGACTCATTGCTGTTTTAACGATGGTTTCTAACACTCTTTGCCCGAGCCTATATTGCTCGGTGGTGCTAGACTTGCACCAAAGAGATGTAGTGATTCTATCTTGTAAGGGACCCATTGCTGCTGGAATGATGGTTTCTGACACTTTTTGCCTGAGCCTAATATAGGCGCATGTTCAGTTTTCCTTAAAGCATCCTTTCATAGAAGTTATTTCTTTCAAGATACCTAATTGCTTTGAAATTGCCGGTAATGCCTTAACAAGGAGATTCCAATCCCCCCCTCTCGCTGAAGAACTCCTGGATATCTTTTGCAACAAGGTGCTCTTTGTTTCAGCACTTGAGGCAATAATCTGTAAAACTTCCCCTTAAACTTTTCATGGTTCAACCCTTAATTGGTTTAGGAAACTCTAAAGGTTCCATTAGCAGCTAGGATGACCTTTAATCATAGTATGTTCATTTTATATTACATGTAAGGAGATTTTAAGGACGTCCTACCCTACATGGATTAGACAAGAAAAATGAGTTCAAAGTTTCCTCCCTTGTTTTTACAAACAAGCAACCCTTGTACCAAATCTGCAGTCAAACATTCAACTTCACATCATTGTGGAAGCAATCAAGAAGGGACCTTTTTTTTGTCTCTTAACAAATCTGAGTTGATCATTATGGCAGAAGTGCGTTAAAATAGAAAACGACCTTGCTGGTGTGAGGTTCTTCATTCTAGAACAGGATATGGACTACCTGACTGGGGAAAATGAAGAGCAAGAGAAGACAGTCCATGTAGACAAGGGCAAAGACTGTTTCCAAGAGATACAAATATTATACTATCTTTCTTTCTTATGTCAAAAATTACAGTCTCCTTTCTAGACTACTTCTAATGCATGACACTATCCATTTTTTTAAATTTTCCATTAAAGTTCTATTAACTTCTGTTGAAAAAAAATGTTAAATTACCAAAACATCTTTAAACTAACATTTCTTCAAATATGTAAATATTACACCAATCTTCCTTCTTAAGTTAAAATAAACACTTTCCACCTTTAACAAATATAAATGTAACACTTTAACAATTTATGTCTTGATTTATATAACTAATTTTTTAAAAAAAAATTATGATGAATTTTCTAAAATTAATTATTTATTTTAAAAAATATTTTTAATTATTATTTTCACAAAATAATTTTAAAGTTATCCAAATAATAAATTCAAATACAAACATTAAGATAGTTTTTAATTAGATATATATATATATATATAGATATTATTTAATTGATGTTATCAATAAAATATTTTAATAATATCTAAATAAACTTATATTTTATGATAAAGCATTATTTATCATATTTGATAAATATAATACTAATATATATATATGTATATAATAAATATATATTTTTAAGTGAATATATTTATATTACAAATATATTACTATATAATTATTACCAAATTTAATATTTATATGTATATATTAATTTATATTGTGTGTATGTATAAGTATAAATATATAATTTATTTTATAATAATCATTTTAAATTTAATTTTAAATTTTACAATTTATTATCAAATGAATAAATGACAATGAACTAAAATTATTTTAACATTTATTTTAATGAAAAGTATACATTAAAATCTTAAAATAAATATTTTTGAGATGCTAAGTTAAATACTTCAAATAATACTACAATATCTCTAAGGGATAAAAGTATAATTTATTCTATAATTTAACATATGAAGGAATGATAGTGTAATATCTCTCAAATAGGAAAACATAATTTACTTTAATGGCATTAAGTAAAATTGGATAGATTGTATATTTTAACATAAAAGAAGAGGTCTTATCTACTGGGAGAGGATAATGTAATTTATGCTTCAAATTTTGTACCGCTCAAAAGTATAGATTCTTTATCATTGTTCATAACCATTGACCACTACGCTAGAGTTCCAAAATATTAAGTGGTTAAAGGAGCCCATTTTCTATTAAGATTAACTCATCATTGTGTTTGATTACATGATTATGACTCGCGTTCAAATGCTATCCTTGTATTTCATGAAATAGTAGAGGTGTGCAAAAATTCAATATGAATCTAACAAATCCAAAATCGAATTGATCCAAATAATAATAACCAATCTATTTTGAGAAAAAACCAAAATGAACCTATTTGTAACAACGGTTTGGTTAACCAATTTGTGTATTATCAAGTGGATCAATTCAATTTTATGAAAAAACCTAACCATATAAGAGTATATAGTGAATAACCAAATTGACCCAAATTCAAAAAAATTCCACTCCAATTTTAGAAAAAATTGAATCAATCAATTTCGATAAAAAATTTGGTTTAGATAACCGAATGGTTTTTATAGAAAAATAGATCAAATTGGTTTGGTTCGAAATTTAAAAAATTTGACCCATGAACGGTCTTAAGAAACATCCAAGTATCACTCATTAGACTTACATTCCCATATTCTGTGGTTTAAACAATAAACATCCCAATTTGTACATTCAAGTACTTTTATAGGAATCCCCATACCTTTGCCCCCTCCTAAACTAACATCATTATTCATTAGCGTCATTGTCTTTATTCCAAAGTAAATAAATTCGGATGTGGACTAACAAAGGTTGGCTATAAATGTTGGGAGGGGGAGGACATGACTGAATTGAACATATGTGTTCCTAAAACTATAACGAATCAACTTATTGATGGGAGAAAGTTTAACATAATAACAATAACTTGATAAAAGAGTAATAATGCAATAAAAATTAAATCCTCTTACTTGTAAGAATCAACTTGGAATATCAACAACATATAGAACATAAATAGATAATATAAATGCATAAGAGACAAAGATTTTTAATTTGAAAATTTTCTCAATGTAAGGACAAATGTAGGAGTCGTCCAAACCAAAGAAAAGGGTATATGAAAGTTTCCGATAAACGCACCAAATAATGTTTATAATCCATCAAAGCAAATCAAACACAATTACTTACAAATGAGAAAGAAGATGAAAAACCCCAAAAACATAGTTATTATTGTGAAATGTTTTTATTTCACTCAATACCTTTTTTTGACGATCTAATCGTTCCTGTGAATTTGCTATTTAAAAATTAGCTTGATCCACTGGTGAACAAATTTCTGATAGCAATTCAAAAATTTCTACCTGGTAGATATGTAAATTGAACAATGAATTTTCTCTTTTCTCTATGTTTTGTTATTGTTCTCTTTCAATAATGAATTATTCTGTCAATCCTAATCTGACCCCTTGTCACTTGGTTAAGTGAAACATAATGAGCTTACACATTTGATACATAGGAAGGATGTTCAAAATCCATCACTTACTCACCCGTGTTTGCCATTGTTTTTTTCAAGTCGAACTTTATAATACCTACACATCTGTATACTTGGAAGGAACCAAATAGAAAAGAAATTGTTGGAATTATATCTAACAATACCTAAAATATGGGCAACTTGAAACGAACATGTAGAGCATCGGTTACACACACCCACACAATAACACCTAATGCTTTTTTTACTTTTCTAGATCACTCACGGTGCCCGTGCTAGCATACAACAATCTTCAAATTTAATTTTCTATTCTTCACCCCATTTCAAATATAAATATTTATACAGATTTTATTTTAATATATATAGACTCTGTTTAGATACAAACTTATAAGAGTTTTTTTAGAGGTTTTTATTTGAAAAAATATATTTTTTTTCCGTTGAAAAGGTTCTCAAAATTTTTACTATACTTGTACCCAAATATGTTGATAATCCTATATCATAGAACATATACTGCAAAATTTCAAAAGAAAAGTGTGATTCATTATGAATACTGTTTAAAAATATTAACAAAAATTCTATAGAAAATATTAAGTTGATTATGTAATTA